AAAGCACCAATTCTATAGAAAGCATGACACAAGAATGAGACTAATAGGCAACAATGGCTATTAAAGCCAAAACCTCCTATTAAGAACACCAAACAAGCACCTATACTATAGAGACACCCTCACGCCTCAAGAGGAATGATCCTCAAGCAAGTAATCTCATCAACATTTCAATCAACAATGACCTTAGTCCGAACTACCTCAAGAGTATCTCTATTCAAAATCAATCTACGTCTAAATGAGCTATTCTCACCTATTTATAGTCTAGGCTAGCTATTACATAAAAGGTCCAAAAGTGGCACTTCAAATAATTGCAAAAACAATCAAAATCAGACTCCATGTAGTATGCGACGTAGCTTGTGGCGTCGCATCTACCATTTGCGGTCGCATCCATCTCCGCATCTCGAAAACAATGAGTCTTGAAGTTTTAGACTGAATGCAACTCGGGTTGCAGTCACAACCTCTCACTTGCGGTTTAAGCTTAGCATTTCACATTGCAAGTGAGTCCTTTCTCCCTGCTCCAAGTATTCCTCCAAGTTAGAGACAGGATAGTTTTATCAAATTTAACTTCTGCTTCCAACTTTAGTTACTCAGGGAAATAGATAGAAACAAGAGAAATTATTGTCTCTTGTCAACTGTACTTTTCCTAGTCTATAGGTTGGGCAGGTTAGTAATAACATGAAGCTCTGTATTTGTGGTTGATTATTCTTTTGACACTAATATCAATATTTTGATGGCACAGGTACCACTCACTACATCACACTCAGTTTAGAACAAATTATTCACTTTTTATGCCAATGTATGACTATCTGAATGGTACAGTGGATAAGTCATCAGACACGTTGTATGAAAAGTCACTCGAGAGAGAAGCTGAAGTGCCTGATGTGGTGCACCTTACGCATCTAACAACCCTAGAATCCATCTACCATCTTCGACTAGGGTTTGCATCACTGGCCTCAAAGCCTCACGCCTCTAAGTGGTATTTGTTGCTAATGTGGCCCGTCACACTATGTTCAATAGTGCTTACATGGATTTACGGTCACACATTTGTTGTTGAGAGAAATTTGTTCAAGAATCTCAAATTACAAACCTGGGCTATCCCGAAGTATCGCATACAAGTAATTAAGTTATATTATTAAAGATTATAGTTACATTTTGCAGGTCTGTTGTTAAAGTGATTATTAATATATCCTGATTCTTTGTTTTGTTGCAGTACTTTATGCAATGGGAAAGAGAGAGTATTAACTATTTGATCGAGGAAGCCATCATTGAAGCAGATCAGAAAGGCATAAAAGTGTTGAGCCTTGGACTCTTAAATCAGGCAAGTCAAAATATGTGTTAAAAGCGTAATACCACCCATCCTTACTTTATCTATGAAAAAAATGCATGATCTGTTCTTAACTGGTAATTATCTTGCAACCTTATTGCAAAATGTTTTGTACACAATCAAAAGATATTGTTATTATGGAGAAAAAGATTTTAAAAAAGAAGTCACCCCTCACCCTATATCAATGTTTGTAGGCTGAACCAATTAAAGAAGGTCAACTCATACTTATGCTTTATTTCAAATGTACTTTCCAGGAAGAGCAACTGAATAGTCATGGTGAATTTTACGTAAAGAGGTATCCACACCTGAAAGTGAAGGTGGTAGATGGAAGTAGCTTAGCTGTAGCCGTGGTCCTAAACTCCATTCCTGAAGGAACTTCCCAAGTTGTCCTTCGAGGTAGCTTGTCCAAAGTTGCTAACTCCATTGCCCTTGCCTTGTGCCAAGGAGAAATTCAGGTATATTTAACTATTAATCTCCTACATCATTTTTGGTTTTATCTCATTCAACATAATTTCTATATATAGGTTGTCACGTTAAACAGAGACGATTACAAGAGACTTAAAGCAAAGCTTACCCCCCAGGCTGCAACTAATATGGTCCTCTCGAATTCTTATAATGTTTCAAAGGTATAAACCAAAAATAAATTGAAATATACTGATCTAAATCTTGACCATTTATAACATTTCCTTGCACCTCCCCCTCCCTCCTAGATCTCCTAACCCAAAGTTTTTATCATTACGTGAGGTTTGAACAATTCTGGTTTTTTTAAAAGAGGCTCTTGATTGAAATATTATATTGCAGACATGGCTAGTAGGGGATGGATTGAGTGATGACGAGCAATTGAAAGCACCAAAAGGAACACTATTTATTCCCTTTTCACAATTTCCACTAAGAAAAGTTCGCAAGGACTGCTTCTATTTCAACACACCAGCCATGATTGCTCCAAAGCATCTTGAAAATGTAGACTCTTGTGAGGTTAGAAAAGATCATTTAATGTTATTAATTTCTCTATACTAATTTGACGGTTTTTTAAAATTAAAGAAATTCATGAGTGATTTTCTTTTAATTCTAGAATTGGCTACCAAGAAGAGTGATGAGTGCGTGGAGAGTAGCTGGAATTGTGCATGCATTGGAAGGTTGGAATGAGCATGATTGTGGTGAGATGATGATTGATGTTGAAAAAGTGTGGAAAGCTAGTCTCAGTCATGGTTTTTGCTCATTAACCAAGACTTCTGCTGCTTAATCAAAGGGCTAAAATTATACTACTATTATAGATAGACTGCTGCTTAAATTATTGAATCTTGGATCTATGGTACCATTTCGTTGGGTAAACGAAAAGTATGCACAATATTAGCCTCTACTAGAACATGTAATAGGTAGCAAACCCATTAATATAAAGGTTTGAGGTATGGATCTCATTAAGAATTGGCTATAAGAACACCTACCCCATTGAGCTACCCTTGGCCAAACCTCTCCTTCCCCGGTCCATGCTCCCAAGCCTACCCCTACCGACGTTGTGACAATTGGTTACATTAATGAGCTACTAGCATAATCGAAAATCAACCTAAAACATTGACTGTGTTGTACTTACTGTTCTATTGAATTTCGAATTAAATTCATAACAAAACCAATGCCAATATATCCAAAACGAAATAAAATGAAGAGAACAGAAACAAATAAACCAAATCACACAGAATTTCAAGAGCAAAACACATTTGTATACAAAATGCAGCGAGGAAAAAAATCGGAGAGGCCAAAAAGAAGCTTAAGTTGGCGAAGCTTACCAGAGATGGGAGAAAACGGGTAAATTTGCACGGAACCAGACGGCCTAACACAGAGAAGAGCGACAAAGGATCAACAAAAAATTGAGGAAGAGGATTGAAACTGGAGAACACGAATGCAATTTTCTATGGTGATGCAGGGAAAAATAGCAATTTGGGTCCTTGATTTATTATCTTATTCCTATTTTAGTCCCCGTGTTATTAATCTGAATACAAGTGAGTAGTGACCTTCAATCAATTATGAGTTAATATCTTAAAAGTTCACTGAACTTATGATAAATTATCTAGTAAAGTTATTCAATATTGTTTTGTATTAATAAAATCACTCAACTTAAAGTATTTATCTTCAAAAATACTTAACTATATTTATCATTTAAATAAATTTAACATGACAAAATAAAATATTTTTCATGTCATGTAATCATGAATTCGACAAATACATAAAATTTATAGAATTTATTTATTATTATACCAAAAATCTATATATATATAAAGCTGAATATAGACAATCTGATGTGGCACATCTCTCTGACCAGCATTTTCATTTATCTTTTATCTCCTTTTTTTGAAGTTTTATATTTATTTTTTATTTTTTATTTTTTATTTGTATTTAAAAAAAAAAAAGAACTGAAAGCATTTAAATGAATAACCCAATTAATCATGTTCTTTAAAGCTTCCCTCACACTAATATACATTTAAGTAAATGGAACATGAAAAGACAAAAAACTTTTCATTTTTCATAATTGTTTATTTTATTTAGCCTATAAAATAAACATATTTGAGTATTTCTAACCAACAACAATGAACTCCTCCTCTTTTCTTCGATTCTTCTTTCCTTCTTTTCTTATGATGATAAAGAAGAATATACGGATATCAAATTTCTTTGACAAAAGAGAAAAAAAGAAGTATATCATGATGCTTCCGAAGATATTGGTAGGAGAAATTTTGTATTGAGAGAAAAAAATTGATTTGGTATATCAAATTTTTAGGCCTTCAAATTTCTTCAACAAAAGAGAAAAGAAGTACATCATGATCCTTCCGAATATATTGGTAGGAGAAATGTTATATTGAGAGAAAAAAATTGATTTGGTTGAAAAATTTATAGGAAGAGTGATTATTGTACCAAGGGGTAAGATAATTATTTGGAGAAAGAATTCATCTATTTATGTATTTCATATCAAATTAGGAGAAGAATAAGTAGAAAATATCTTGTGATTTGAAAGGAAACTAAATTAATGTTGATATTATTTCTTTCAACTTAATTATTTTATTAATTCTTTTCTTCTTTTATTTTGTCTTGATTTATTTTTTATGTGTCTTTAATCAAAGTTTATTTTATATATACTATGATTGATAATCTAATTATTTTTTGATAGTTTTTTTTGACATTTTTTTAGTAATTTTAAAAGAAAAGATGATCATATTTGAATCATTTTATCATCAATGCTATTAATTTCTTTTACTTTCTTCCCTTAATTTCATAACTGATATTATTTACTATATCATTGTTGACACCCAATTTTGGCCTAACATTTTCAAAAATTTGCAAATTTTAAGTTTTACTTATTTAATAGTTCAAAATAAATTTTTATAATTTAAATAAGTTTATCGATAACTATCCTTATTTATCAAAATTTAGGATTTTTCTTTTATCAGTTAATCTTAAAATTGCATTTTTACATGTCATTAGTTATGTTCATTTTTTATTTTTATTTTTATATTCATTTTATTTGTTACATTTGTTAATATTCATTTTGATATTTTGCACAACCTATAAATTCATTCAACTACAAATAATATTTCATACACATATATTTTATTAATCGGTGATTTGTCCCACGATTTTAAAATAGTGGTATTATAGTTTTCAACTCCCTATATAAAGAAAAGTTTGTCTATTAGGGTAGAGGGGGGTGGTGAATTATTTTTTTTGAGAGGGGTTGAGAATTTTCAGATTTTTATTTACAATAGGGTTTCACTATTTATAAATTTTCCGGCGCCGCCACCACCGGATTCCGGCCAAGCTCGGACAGCCCTAAAACCCCCATTTTTTCCCTCCCATTTCTTCTCCAAACCAGATCCAAGACCCCTTCTGGCTACTCTCACTTTGTCATTTCTGGCAAAATTCTGGTGAAATCCCACCTCTTTTCCGACCAAACAACTCAACAGCTTCCCAACACCACCATATCTCCACCCAAAAACGACCAAGGATCCACCACAATCCCATCTCTGGCGAAAACATCCAAATACCCGCCTGAAACCAGCAAGCCATCGAGCTCGAAGCTCACAATCAGATCTCCACCACCCAAACGACCCCAAGTTCCAACTCCGGCAAGGAGCTCAAAGCTCCGATGAACCGGAGCAAATGAAGGCGATGACCAGCCCCTTCCCCTCTCCCCTTTACATATTTTCTTTCGTTTTCGCAGGTGAACTACAACAACAACAACAACCAGCAGCTCTGACCTCTGGCAAAGAAGTCAGACCCAACCAAATCTCAGCCAAAGCACACATTGTCACTCCATTTCCGGCAGACCACCGTTTCAATACTGTTGGTATGCCTTTTCCTTTATCTATTTTGGCTTATGTCCTCATCTTATTTGCTATTGTTTTTTTTATTATTTTTCATCACTTCCATTATTTGTGTATCATAAATTAGCTTCTGCCTTTGTTAATTTTTAATTACTATAAAGTGACATCCAAAGTGTTTAGTTTTAATCTAGAATGTTGGCATCATAACTTTCATTATATTGACTATGCTATTCATTATTTTATATAGGTTTCTTAATTTTTCATTTTAATCTTTGTGCTATTATCTTCTTCTTCTTTTTTTTTCATTTTTTTTTTTTGGTCAATAGATCTGGATATGCATGGTTGCTAATTCTTTATTTATATTTTCTTTTTTTTCTCTTAAGTTAATTTAGTTTTGTTCGTTGTGATGGTAGTAGTATTTTCTGTTAAAGTTTATAGTTTTTTTTTTCATTATAGATTATTGTGTGTTTGTTTGAACTTATCTATTTTTATTTTTATTTTCATTTTGATTTGGGCTATGTTAGTTATTCTTTGTTACATTTTTAAAGTTTTATTTTTTATTTTACCTTTTCTCATTATTATTTTTTAGCATAGTGTTTCCAGTGATACACGTTTGCCAAGTTGCCTTAGTTTATAATTTATTTTGAATAGGAAGACATGTGTTTATTTTAGATTTAATCAAAATTGATTGCATTTCACTTTTTAAGGAAGGCCAGTGACCCGTGTTGCTTTATTTATTTATTTTAAATTATTTTGTTTGGTTTTTATTATTTTTATGTAGTTTATGAAATATTGTCACTTGTTAATTTTATATGATTGTGTAAAAAAATAAAATATTCAATTGGTCAATGAAAAAATCTCTCCGTCGATTTTGGAGACTTCCACATTTTAAATAGCTCCAGTTTTAGGTTCTTTTTGTTGTTATTTTTACTTGGTGGAACACATTTCTTATAATATTTTAAGTTTGTTAGACTTTTCAAACAAAGCTGAAATTTAGTTGGAATTTAAGTATTTGAATAGTTTCTTTTCTTTTCGGTCTCTGTTACTATTATTACTGTTGGTTGCTGCTCTTTCTTATCTTGTTGTTGACTTTCTTTTTCACTTTTGAATTATGTTATGTTTATTCCATTTTTGTTTAATAACTTGTGATTGTTTACATACTCATGGTTACGTTTTGTTCATGATAGTTGCAAGCTCTCTGTTTTATTGTTTTTTTTTCCTATAGTTTGATTTATTTATTTTTGTTTGTTGTTCAATTCATGTGAAAGAGTATACATGTAGAGGGTCAGTTGTTAATTAATTGATATTGATTTTATATATATTTTTTAATGTGGGACACACCTTTTAGCTAAATGCCATGATTTCTTTTGTTTTGGTTGCTTGTGTCATTGATATTATTTCTTATTTAGATTGGTATAGGTATGGCTACGGTATGTTCACCACTTCACTTTATTATTGTTGTTTTATTTTTCAGTTGTAATTGTTGACTTTATGTCTGTTTTATTGTTTTTTTTTCCTATAGTTTGATTTATTTATTTTTGTTTGTTGTTCAATTCATGTGAAAGAATATACATGTAGAGGGTCAGTTGTTAATTAATTGATATTGATTTTATATATTTTTTTTAATGTGGGACACACCTTTTAGCTAAATGCCATGATTTCTTTTGTTTTGGTTGCTTGTGTCATTGATATTATTTCTTATTTAGATTGGTATAGGTATGGCTACGGTATGTTCACCACTTCACTTTATTATTGTTGTTTTATTTTTCAGTTGTAATTGTTGACTTTATGTTTACTACTTTATCAATTGTTTCTTCCTATTTTGATTAGCTAGTTTTATGTTCATGTTATATTGCTTTGATATTTTATTTTTATTTGCCATCTTATTTATGTTATTATGTTTATTTGAGCATTTAATTTAATGGCCAATGAAAAAATCTCTCCGTCGATTTTGGAGGCCTCCACATTTTAAAAGACGAAAATTTAGTTTAAATTTATATGAGTTTTATGTTAAAATTGGCCGATGAAGAAATTACCGTTGATTTCCAAGGCCTCCCATGTTAATAAGACGGGTTTTTATTTTTTAAGTTATTGTGTAATTCACTTATTTTTATTCATATTTATTTATTACTAACACTTTTACTAAGTGTCTTTACAGGTACCCGGAGCTGCTTCCCATTGAAGCTATTCGAACAAAGTTCGAACAATATTTTGATTCATTATCGTATATTATTGACGATAGAAAAATCTAGGTTGTTTCTTATAATATTTTATTTTATTACTTGTGTATCTTGTATGTTTGTTTTATTTGTATATTATTTTTATTTCCTCCTCAATTTGAAAAAAATAAACTCAGTCGG